GCGCAGCACTCCTAAGAAAAAAGTAATAACATCTCTCTGAGGTTATCCTCCATACCAAGCTTCTTAACTTAGGCAGCAATTAAACATCACCCTACTTTCTTTTTTTTTTAATTTATTTACTTTTTAAATACATTTGTCTCTGCCTCCCCCCACCTCTTTCCCTTGCCCCCTCCCACCTTCCCTCCCTCAGCTCTTCCCCTTTGGTTTTGTCCATGAGTCCTTGCTATATGTTCCTTGACTTTCCCCTTCCCTTCCCTTTCCCTGCCCCCCTCTTCCCTCTTGTCTCTGTTGATTTCTTTTCCTTTCAGTATTGCTGGTCATATTTTCCTTGCATCTTTGCATTGCTGGTTAGGTTCCGCTTATAGGTGAGATCATATGGTATTTGTCTTTCGCCCCCTGGCTTATTTCGCTTAGCATGATGCTCTCCAGTTCCATCCATGCTGTCGCAAAGTTTAGTACTTCTTTTTTCTTTCTGCTGCATAGTATTCCATTGTGTATATGTACCATAATTTTTTGATCCAATCATCTACTGATGGGCATTTAGGTTGCTTCCAACACTTGGCTATTGTAAATTGTGCTGCTATGAACATTGGGGTGCATAGGTTCTTTTGTATTGGCGTTTTGGTGTTCTCAGGGTATAGTCCCAGCAGGGGAATTGCTGGATCAAAAGGCAGTTCCATTTTCAGCTTTCTGAGGAAATTCCACACTGCTTTCCATAGTGGCTGCACCAGTCTGCATTCCCACAGTGTACTAGGGTTCCCTTTTCTCCACAGCCTCGCCAGCACTTGTTGTTTGTGGATCTGTTTATGATGGCCATTCTGACCAGTGTAACATCACCCTACTTTCAAGTGCTCTCCAGAAATGGAGCAGAGTCACCAAGGAAGAACTGAGAGTTAAAAGTGGGGTCGTCTTCCCCTCACTGAAGAAGTTTCCTGTGACATCCCTCAGCTACCCCTCCTCACCTTTGCAGGTGGCCTGCTCTGCACAGAAGCAGGTTCTGTTTGGGATTTAGAGAAGTCACTCATCCCTGAATATCAGGGTCAGGCTCGTATTTTCTGACTTGCTGGATTTTTCCTTAGAGTGTCTAGATTCAGAACATGATCCTTACTTGGGAAGCAGCCATCACCAGCCTGGTCTGCTGATGCCAAAGATTCACAAGGTTTTTGAAGTCATAACCTGGGGGTGAAGGGCAGCTCTCGAGGAGCAAGGGATAGGGAGAGTTTCAGAAAAGCATTTAGGGGCAGGAGCCTCCAAACAGTCATACAAAGGAGGATCCGAGAGTGAATCTGAGCTCTGCTTCCAGTAAAAGGTGCAGTGCTCTCCATTTTCAGACAGCACTATAAACTCACTTTTATGACACTAGTTATAAAACCCTAACATTTATCTGGTGTGGGCGGTACATTTTTTTCTTAAAGATCAAAAAGCAAGAGAAAGATTTATGACCCCCAAAACCAGCTTGGGATTTATAAAATTAAGTTTTCATAAAAGTAACATATCCCACGTGCTGAAAAAAAGATTAGGTTCAATACCATGAAGCTATAGACATGTATAAGGAGTCCTTTACCTATATCTTTCATTACTTATTTTTTAAAATTGTTTTATCAGTGACTAGGACCCTAAATATCACCAGAAGTGGTTTTTAATGTGTTAGCAGCAGACAAGAGGTAAATAGGATGACAAGGAGACAATTCCCTGATGAACCGTCTCCAGATTTATCACTTCCCAGAGGGGCTTTAATAATGGTGCCTGCCTTTGTGACATACACCAGGAGCAAGAGTAGGCAGCGCAGGGGAGCCAGCAAGGAAAGGAGGAGCTGGCATGTGAGACCTGGGCTTGGCCTGGCTTGGTCTGGACTTATTTATTTGAAAGAGCAGGTTGGTGCACAGAATGGGATTGCTCACAACCCTTGGTTCCAGGACCCGTCCTTTAGTCCAGGAATGGTCATCTTTTTTAATTAACTCATTTATTATAATGACAAATACATTAAAAAAAAACTTGAATCTAAAGCTAACACTGAACTTGACTTATACCCATGAATAGGCTTCTCTCCCCACCCTACGGCTCTGTCTCTCCCCTCTGCAGTAACCACTTTCATGAATCTTGTGCTTTACCAATACTATGGATGTGTATATGAGTCTCATATATTTTTAAAAGGGTATTGTGTTGTAAGTTATTTTCTATTAGTTGACCCATATGAAATTGCATCTAATGCCTTTTATTTACTCATTATTATTCTGCTAAGATTCATCCATACTACTACATGAAGCGAGAGTGGATTCATTTCATTGCAGGTTACATTTTTTTTTACCTTGTTAATGCTCACTTGGATTGTTTCCAGGGTTTTGGCTCCATAAACAATGCTACCATGGCCTTTCTTGTCTCTGGAATGCATATGAAAGTTTATTTGGGATGAACACATAGGAGTTGAATTGTTGGATCACAGGGTATGCAAATATTCCATTTTATAAGAGAATGACAACTAGTTTGTAAAGTGGTTGTACTGAGCACACTCCCACCAGCAACTGACCACCTGTTACTCCCATCCTCTCTACCACCTCTTATTCTGTGAAAGTCTAGTTGGTGTAAAATGAAATATCTTTATGGTATCAATTTGCATTTCCTGGACCACCAATGATTTTGAATATTTCTCCAGATAATTATTGGCCATATGTGTTGTCTCTTCTGTGAAAGTCCTGTGCAAGTCTTTTGTCCATTTTTCTATTAAATTGTTTGAACTTTTCTTATTGATTTGTAGAAGTTCTTCATATAATCTTGATATCGATCGCACACTGGTTTTATGCATTGTAAATATCCCCTGCCACTGTGTTACTTACTCTTCTATTTGTTTAAAGTGTTTTGTAATGAATAGAAGCTTAATAAGTCAAAAGTAGCTATCTTTTCTTTTATAACAAGTACTTTTTATAGCGTTGTTGCAATGAATCTTCATAAGCATCCTATGTGGACAGGAGTATTGGCTCTCCGTGAGAAACAAAGAAAGCAGAGAAGGGAAGCTCTAAGGCCATTTGGCCCAGCCCTTACATTAATGAAAAGCCTTAAATCAACTTTGTATTCATTATCTCCAAATGAGGTCACCTACAGCCACAAAGATTCCCTGTCAGGGATGAACGAAGACCAACAGCTCGGGGTCAGAGGATCATCCTATGTAGTGTACTAAGAATGAAGAGCTTTTAATAAATCTTGTAAGCATGGGAATAGCAACATTTATGTTGTACTTTATCATATTTGTTAGGGTATTACTTGGTTAAATGTAAACATTCAAACTCTATCATAATGTAAACTTTTAAATGTTTTAAGCATTTAAAGAGACCCCAGAATTGCCCAGGCCTCTCTCAACTCTGAGGGTTTCCAGACCAAAAGAGTGGTGTGCTCAAGTTCACACAGCTGGTGAGTTATGGAACTGGGACTCATCCTCAGGTGTGTCAGGCTCCAGAACCCAGACACTTTCTACTGTGGCTCAGGGACAAGAAGCCATCCTAAGCTAGCTGCAGTGTGAGGGTGCATGCCCATGGGGCCCTCACTACACCCAGAACACTGCAGCTAGCCCATCCCCTGGACAGAGCCACACTCCGCCAGAACGCCCACTGCTTCTGAAGTGGGACTCCGCCTCTGCCTCTCTCTGTGGGCCTCCTTGGGGCTCCCCTGGGAGGGCTGGAAGACTGCTGAGGACCCTTGCCATCACGGAGAGTAGGGTGGTGAACCCTGGTGTCCCTGAAGCTTTCCCTAGACTGTCCCCTTATACGCACTACCTTCTGCAATAAGGTTAAGTGATCCCCAAGCAGCTGGGGATATGGAACCCGGGTGTGTGTGTGTGTGTGTGTGTGTGTGTGTACCTGTGAGATGGTTCCACTGGCGTGGATACCTAAGGCAGGCTGGACAGGGGTCCATGTGTGTGTGAGATCTCATGTGTGAGTATATGTGTGGGTCTGAGTGTGTGAATGTGAGAGAGAGTGTGCATGACTGTGTGTGTGTGGAAGGTACCTCCAAAGGGGTGGGCAGGTGGAGAGGGAATAGGGGGCAGGTTGAGAAGAGCTGAGGCACCCTGGACACCACCCTGATCAGAGAGGCAGTGGTGCTGGGCACATCTTTCTCGTCTCATTCACTAATGGCCACAGGGACAGTAGTCACTGGATGTGAGGGTCACCGGACAGAGGATGCCACCACCAGGAGCATGCTTATGACACCTGCCTTCATCTCACTATCTTCCTCCTCACTGACCTCCTCAATGCATGGTGAACAAATGCCAGACTTCTCAGCTTGAAATTCCTGGCATCGGACCCTAACAGGAAGGTGACCCAGTGCCTCTGATTCTCATCTGTATAATAGTATAATAATGATTAAGTCAGTTCATATTGGAAATTAACTGAAATAAATGAGCAAATTCAGAGTGCTGAAGAATGTGATGACTTTTCTCCACCCTCTCTCTCTCCTGGCTCCTTCCAACCTTATCCTCCCCTGGTTTCTCCAAGCACAGCCTTCATCCTGGGCTTGATGCCCTTAGCACCATCTCCCAAGCACAACTCTTCTTCACAGCAGAGACCCACAGTATACCACCCTCTCCTGAACTTTGTTCCCTCACTCCCTCCACCTCCTGATTGGTTCTCTGCTTTTTCTTTTGCTGAGTGTTCTCACGTGGGGTAGGCAGGTACTTCTGGGTCACCATCCTATGAGCCCGCAAGAAAGGAGGTTCTTGTCTCAAGCTTAATCTGTCTTCTCTGTACTGATCCCTTGAAAAACAACTGTTTGGTACCTAACAGGCAGCCCCCTCTATTTCTGTTGCCAAGAATGCACACCTACCTAAAGAATACAGGTGTATCACCACTTAACATTCACATGCCTGGGAGAAATGCCTATCTAGCCTGCTGAAGATGGATGACTCTGCAGGTGACAGAGTTGTTCAAAAAAGATGCCCACCTTGGGGATGACCATGCCCACAGCACCTGTCAAGCACACACATGCCCAGGTAGCCAACTCCCACCTACCTTCCTGATGCCTTCTGAAGGACTGGACACACAGTTGTCAACCCCTCCATTCTTGCTGATGATCCTCCAGAGCTCAGCAAAAGTACTGTCCTGTTCCAGGGGGTTGGTGCCCTTGGCTCGGAAGTACTCGTACACAGCAGAGTCCCGGACAGTGCCATAAGACATCTCCACTTGTTTGGATAGGTCCTGGAATGTCCTGAAATGCAAAAAGGTAGTTAGCCATGGGTCCAGGCTGCCCACAGAAGAGATATAATAGGCTGCAAGGCCCTCCTGAGGTCTGAGCCCAGCTGTGACCTACGACCCACATTCTTCACTCCCAATCCTCAGCAGCACAGATCCCTCAGTCCAGAGAGTGACTTGCCAAGGCCTCATTCTATCAAAGTTATGTTTTCTCAGTATAGATTAACTCAGTAAAGTTATCAACACCTAAAACCAGGTCCTGCGCTGAGTTCCAAGGACAAAAGGATGAATAAGGCATTATTCCTGCTCTCAAGGAGCTTACAGTCTAGCTGTAGGACCATAGAGAGAGATAATCACAAAGTGAAAGAGTCAGGGCATCACAAGAGGCTGGATACTGATGGTCTCAAGTCAAATGCCTGCAGCAAGGGAAAGAAAAACACATTGGCAAGAGTGACAACAGTGACTGGTCTCTGACTCTGAACACTGGAGTGGGTCAGATGCACACCCAGGGATTGTACCAGTTAAGAGACATGTGTCTCCAAAGCTCACAGCTGTTCTGGAGTTCTACCCTGTTGTCGGCTTTTGAGCATCTTCCCACCAATTTGTTTTTCAATAAAGAGATAAATCTGAGTTTTTCCATGAGATCACTTTATTTTTGTAAGTGTTGACCATTATTTAAAAGATGGCAAACATAAAACAAAACATTTCTGAGGGTCTTGGGTTTGTTGTATATAGAAGAGAAGCAGGTAGCTCAGGCCAGCGACACACTGAAGGAAGGGGTGTATTAGAAAGGCCCAGAAACAGCCCAAGAGCCAGCAGCAGAGGAGGAAGAGGAAAGCCCCCTGGTTTAAGAAGCGTAGTCAGTCCAGGAAGGTCCAATGGGCACAAAGTTCTTACTTGCCCCAAGATGAGCAGTGCCTGGCTCAGTGTGTTGAGAGAATGCCACACACAGAATTTCAAAAAGCAAAAAGCTCAGTGGTGATCCAGGTTCTTACTCCAGGCTTCAATCTGATCACTCTTTGCTTATTTCTCTTCTGGAAATCTGTCTCTCCTTTTTTTTTTATCAGCCAGAATATTATCCCCACTTCTCACTGAATCATTGTTCCAGGGAAATCTAATCTTCTCAACATGACCTACAAAATCCTCCATCCCTGATCTCACTGGAAATTGTTGCTCCCTCCACACACAGCTCCATAGCCAATGTTGAAATTAGGACTCCCACACGGTCCCCATCTATGGCACCAGGCCATGGGCTACCTCTGCCTGGAATCCCTTTATCTCACTCATCCACCCAATATACTTCTGCAAACCTCTTCACGATCCAGCTGCCATCTCTCCCCATGGGAAGCCAAGGCTACCCCTCACCTCCCTGTGCCGTCTCTCCACTTTGCTTAGCTCTAGGACAGCATGATCTTCCTGACATCAGAGGACAGCATGACAGGGTGAGGTCAAGCAGGGATTCTGGAGTCCAACAACAGGCCTTGCCTCTCACCTCCACCATCACTAAATATTGAGGGCCTGGGCAAGTTAGCTAAACTCTGTACCTCAATTTTCAAATCTTTAAAAAAATAAGGATAGAAGCAGAGCCTACGGCAGAGGGCAACAAGTGAAGATTAAATGAGGTTATGTGTATTCAGCTCTTAGAGCAGTGTCCGATGCAAACTAAGTGCCCAATAACTAGCAGCAATTATTCTGCACTATTATTATCTGTATGTGTCCTCTATTAGAGTCTAAGAATTTGGAGGACTGAAGCTGAAGCAGCGCATCTTCGCATTCGAAACGCGACCCAGACTGACACCAGCCTTCACAGCACATGCACTCAGGAGCAGGCAATGAATACTTCCTCTTGCTTTGGAGACACACTCTGTGGCAATCTTTTAGGGCCTGCTACGTGGCCCAGAATCAGAGCTCAGTATTCATTTCAATATATTACAGATGAAAGGAAACATAAAATAACAAATGTGATGAATAAATCTTTTTAATTATTGTTCATTATTTATACCTAATTAAAGCAAGATATGCTTTGCTCAAAGGGCCCCAAGGGCTATAACTCCATTGTAATTTGCCTGTAAAGGAGGGGTGTCTTTTTTCCCCACATTTTAATTTTTTCTCATATTACTACAAACAAACACAAGGCTTTGATGAATGGGAAACATCAGGATGAATTACACAGCTGAGTCTAAATACTGAACTGCTCTACATGACTGCAGTTTCCATGGATTGAATGTGCACCTTCCAAGGAGCATGGCACTACTGTTTCATCCTCATATTTGAAATGGAGATGGCTCTTTTCTCTTGGTATTTATTCACAACTGTGCCCCTGCCCAGAGGTTCAGGGAACATACCTAAATGACAAACAGGCAGCCCAAATACTTATGGCTTCACCTCCATTCCTGTCTCAGTAGAGCTCAGTGTTCCCACCCTAAAAATACCACCCACATCTTTGCTATGCTAGCCTTGTGGCTCGGCCCAATTGACTCCATCCATCACCTCTCATAACCTTTAGTCTATGTAAAGGGATCTCTCTCATCTCAAATGCACACTTCTCTTTCAAGGAAGATTTTCAAGTTCACTAACATGCCCAACACACAGTGGATGCTACCATATTTCAGAGTGAATATACCAATAAAAAGCTATTTGGAGGTTTGAACAGGAGAGCCCAACTATTCACACACTAAAGCTGTCTTCCTGGGGCACTCATCATCTTGTCAGAGTCCACAGTTTTGGAAGGGACACATGGGGAGGAATAAAGGAGAACAGGGGAAGCTAACCATCCAGGCTCCAAGCTGACACTGGCAGTCAGCAGAAAACAGAAGTTCCCATCAAGTAGGATGACCCTCCAAAGAAGCGAGGATGCCTAGCCTGGAGAAAGCTGCACTAGCACACCCACATCCACAACCTAATTTAGCATCTTTGGCAAACTAGTCTCTTCAGCAACAACTCTAGAAAGTGTCTCCCCAACCCCAGAGAAACGAAGAGCTGCTCATCATAGGTAGGGTTTCTATAAACCTAGGGTTCATGATTAACTGGCTGAAATCATTCAATCAGCTGTTCTACCAGCAGTCACTAATATTTACTAGGCAAGGCTTAGCAGCACATAAAGCAAGGACCAAATGGCGGAGATCTCCATGGGGTCCATGAAGAGGGATGGGCGAATGGTCAGAGAAGCAACTAAACAACATGAGAGAGACTAAAATAGAGTTCTGCATGGGGAATCCTGGAAACACAGAGGAGGAGTAGTCAGTGCATTTGGAAAAAAAGAAATATGTCCTAGGAGTGGAAAAATTAGGCTGAGTCATGAAGGATGGGTGGAAGTAGCCAGATGGAGAACCAAGGAGTAGAGAAGGCACTGATGTGTGTAAACATATGGTTCATTTGGGACACATACCATGGGGCAATTTGTATCATATAAAACAACATAGGTTTTGGAATCAGACAGATGTGGATGTGAATCCTGCCTCTGAATGGCTGAGCTGTTTGAGGTAGGCCAGTAGCTCTCAAGGTGTAGTCCTCAGGGCCCTGACATCAGCAACACCTGAGCCCTTTCGAGAAATGCAAATTCTGGGCCCCACCTCAGATCTACTGACTCAGAAACTTTGGGTGGCCCTGAGCAATCTGTGATTTCACCACCTTCCGGTGATTCTGATTTAAGCACAAGTTCTATAACCACTGACTGAGGTAAGCCTTTTAATGACCAAGGTCTTTGTTTTCTTAATTCATACCTTTCTAACAGGATGAGTGAAGATTAAAGATCACAGGCATATACCCAGCATGTAGTCAATGTTTAATAAAAGTTAGCTTTTCTGTTATGCTACCGATAAGTCCTTCAAATCATTGAATGACATATCAATATGGTAAGTCACATAAGGCCACATTAAAGAGTAATGGGTGATGGCACCCAGGTGGTCACACCTGGATGGAAGTAGTGGTGGCCAGGCAGCATGTTTCCAGTGCTTCCAGGCTCATGGTATCTGCCCATCTGTCTCTCCAGTAAGATGTCTGTGGTAGATCTTGTCTCCCACTTGTTGCCAAAGTACATGCAAATGATTGACTACCAGCACCCAATCTTCCATCTTCAGGCACCTGCCTAAAGTGACGATCTGATCTGAGAAAGTCTGAACCCCAGGATGTGCATGGAGACACCAAACTTCCCTGGTAGACAACCTGGACCCTAGTTTTTGTAGCCCATGATGGTAACTGCTCAGCAGAAGCCTCCCTGAGGAAGTTGTAAGCATCTGGGTGATGGAAGCTGCTAGAGGAGATAACTTTAAAGGCATCATCCCCAGGCTGCCCACCTACTCTGGATTCCCTAATTAGGTGTCAAGGTGCAGGCATGTGCACATTGTAGCTTACTCTTTATCTCTGTGGTCTGCTGCCTATCTCTGTACTTCACCTTTTAGTAACGTTCAGTGTTGGCATCCTCCCATGGCAAAGCTTAGCCTCCCTTCCAAGTTCAGTCAATATCTCTCACTCAAATGTACACCAACTGAAACTGGATTTTGGACCTGCGGAAGCTGCTTCTCTATATCTCCTGGCCTGGAGTGCTTGTTTTGGGGGTCTCTCTTAACTGAAGGCATAGATGACTCCTGTGATAAAATGAGAATACTTTGTAAAAGGACTTTGAAAGCATCCCTTGCCTCTGAAAACAATTTCCTACAATTAAATATGCACTTTCTGGTAGATCCGAAAGGTCTCCTTCAGCCAAGGCCAAGGACAGTCCATCCAGCTCAGCACTCTCCTTACCCATCCCTTTCTCCATAAATCAATCTCACTATTTCATAGATACATTTTCACTAAAGAAGAGATAAATGTGTTTGCAACATGAGAAAAATCAATAATGCAGAATTTATAGATACATCTATGCATGTTACAGAAATATTTACATTGGCAATGAGATAAATACACTTGCAACAAGAGCAGAATCAATATACACCATATGTAAACCAGATTTCAACAACTGTGGAGTTGCTATAATCATGGCTCTGATACATTTAAATCCCAAAGCCCTATTATTTA